AAGCCTCCACCATCCCGTCCATGCATGACTGCTGAAGCCTCCACCATTCCGTCCATGCACTACTGCTGAAGCCTCCATCATCCCGTCCATGCACTACTGCTGAAACCTCCATCATCCCGTCCATGCACTACTTCTGAAATTAGTCTGCGGGGCTTCATGACCTGGAGCCAGGGCACATCTGTGCAGTTTTTGGCCCTTCCATGCTTCAAGATATGGTTTCTTCTTCCAAAACAGAGGTGAGGAAAAGAGAGGGAGCCAGACAACAGAGCTCTGGGTCTAACACAGGGGTTCTCAACCTTCCTAACACTGTGATCCTTTAAAAAAATTCCTAATGCAGTGCTGGCCCCAACCATAAAGCTATTTTTGCTGGCACTGCATGACTGTAACTTTGCTACTTTTATGAATCATAATGTAAAATATCTGTGTTTTCCAATGATCTTAGGCAAACCCTATGAAAGGATTCCTCAGTTCCCACAATGGGTCACACACAAACCTCAAGTTGAGAATCACTGGTCTAGCAGAAGATGGAACATAGCAATGAACCAGGATCACAGGGTAAGGAGTAAGGGCTACCAAAGACAGTTCTGTAGTAAGAACTCTTAAAGAGGCATTAATAAAACCGACAGAAGAAGAAAGTAGAGAGAAAAGGGATTCCCAAGCCATGAATTTTATAAGTAGTCACCATGAAATACTACAAACCAAAGCGGAGCCTTTTCCAAAAAGAACCAGGCTTTGTGAAACTGGGGATTTTTTAGAACTTCAGTCACCAAACTGGAATTTACAATACCTTGGCATGATGCAGGTCAACCCCGTACATGGAAAGCCTCTTTGCGTTTTCTAAGAACTGAGAATCAGCTTGTGCTGGAGATAAGCCCCTGAGAATCAAATGACACTGTGTCACCAGGAGATGCAAACATATTCATAATAGATACAGCTGTGCACAGGACTGGAGAGTCAGGACTCTCCAGGCTCACAGTCAGGGGTAACTGTGGCAGGACTCTC